AATAGACCTGATGACCTTTCCCCTCCAAAAGAAACAAACAGATAAAACTGTAATGAACTAAAATGCATTATATTTATTAAATTTTTAGTTCAACTAATAATAGAAAAAAGAAAAGTACCAAACTGGTCACCTCTGGAGAATGCTAGGAAACCAATTCATTATTCTGAAAGTTATAAATAAAGGCAATAATTAAGCATCTACTTGCCTTTTCTCTGTGGACCATATTTCAGGGCAACCAACCAATTTACAGGGGGAAGTTTGTCTTTATAGAACTGTTTGCACAATGCAGAAGGGCGCCAAAACCAGAATGTCACCATCCTGCAAACTCCGAGTGGGCTGCACTCGGGCAGAGGCTACTGGACGAACCCAAGCCCCCGCCTATGAAGTGTTCTTGCCCCTGCCAACCTAACCCAGTCAGTCTCTACAAGCTTGCAGCACTGTCTAAGGACAGAAAGGTACCACAAGAATGCAAATGGCAAAATCCCAAGTGTGAGAAACAACACAGGATGCTGACTTTAATGAATAAATTTCAAAGCGGAAGAAAAGAGGTGGGAGGAGGCTATCGGTTAAGAGATTTTAAAAACCTATCGACCAAATGCATTGTGCATTTGTGTACCTAGTTTTAATTCGAATTTACACAAACCGATTGTAAAAAAAAAAAGATAATATTAATGTATGAGAAAAATGGTAGAATCTGAACACTGATTGGATATTTGATGATAACAAGCGATAATTGTCAACATTTAGGTGTGATAACGGTTCCATAATAGTTTTGTAAGGGCCCTTATTTTTCAGAGACAGATATGGAAGTAATTATTAAGTAAAATGACTTCATGTGTGGGATGGGAGGGGAGTAACTGAATAAAGAACAGGTGAAAAGAGATGGGTCAGTTACTGTTTCAGCTGTGTGATGAGCATGAGGTTTCAATGAGGTTTCACGGTACAACTTGCCCTACTTTTGTACATCTTTGACATTTTCCATAGAAAGAAGCTAAAGGAAAGAGTGAGGGGGAAAGTGGGTCCTCAAACAGGGACTCCTGTCCCTCTTGCCTGCTCCGTTTTCCTTCCCTTCCCAGCACACTGACTGCCAAAGTCACCTAATTTGCAGCTTTATGGTGTTTTCCCCACCAGGACGTGAGTTTGAAAGGAAGGAGCTCTTTGCTTTGCCTGCTGCAGATAAAGGAGATCAGGAGACTGGACAACTGGTGCGGACAGCAGAGGCCTAGTCTCCTCACATTCTCCCGGGAGCCAGCAAAGGACAGGAGGCAGGGGGCGGAGGGCGCACAGAAGGCGTTTCCCAAGCGCAGTCAGACCTGTGGGGTCAGTGCCCAGCAGAGGAGTGGCTGGAGAAAAAGGTCACCCTTTATAATGCAGATTGAAATTGCTGGACAGGTGAGGCGGCGTTTGAGGGTGTCCACTCGCCAGTGTCGGTCATCCGTCGGTTCGCTTCTTGGCCAGGAACTCTTACAGGTACTTGGGACGTGCCAGTGAACAAAATGAGCAGACTTCCTCTGGCACTTACGTTCTAGACAGGAGGGTGGGAAAGGTGCTCAGGAGAGATTTAACTTGCATTTCCCGTGTTGTGAGTAATGTTTGAGAGTCAGTGGTATTTCATTTTCTTTGAAAAGTTCATATTATTTGTCTAGTTTTCCTTAATGATTAGAGTAAAATCTATATTTTAAGAAAATGTGCCCTTTTGCTGTAAAACGATGTACGAATATTTTTTCCGGTTTGAAGGGTGTCTTTTTTTACTTTGTTTTCATTTTGTGTGTGTGTGTGGTAAAAATTCATCCTTCCAAATTTGATACAGGAGTTCTCCATGTGGATTCTGTGATGACAAAAACCAGTTGTGCATAGAAGGCTTTCCACACACAGTACACTCACAAACGTCAATGGAGATGAAAGCTTTAGTGATCATTTAATAAAGCACATGCTTTGAGAACTGTGGGCCTACACAACTGGTTGCCTACTGAATATCCAGTTCCCACTTCTTCGTTACAGATTGAGTCCTGATTTTGTTGAGCGTGATACTGTTCCCAGATGGAAAGCTACATTTTCCAAGCTCCCCTTGGAAAAGCTAGAGCTGGTCTTGTAACACTTCAGGCCAGGGAGCTTTGAGTCACCGAGTGTAGCTCTGAACCAGCTCTCTACAGTGAAGCTGACTGAGAAAGTATTTGCTTTTGTTTTTTGCTTTTTCACATTCTGCCTGGAGTGTGGATGTGATGCCAGAGACAGAGCAGCTTCTTTGAAACCATGAGGCAGAAGCAACGCAAGGAAATTGGCTACAGCTTAAGCAGTTGCCTGATATGAAGAGCTTAGATGGGGGTTCCGTAAATAGCTAGCAAGGCAGTAGAGCCACGCAGTCTAATGGCCTCCTTCTTTAATTACTTTAACACTGGCAACTGGACAAAACCAGTCCTAAGGCCAAACTCGGCCGACCTTGGCGGTCCCGGGGCTGCGCAGGAAGCTTCCGCGAGGTCGCCGGAAGTGCGGCGTGTTGGGGGCCAGAGCGCGGTGTGGCCTCTCTAGGCGCGATGGCGGCCTCGTTTCTCGGTGGTGGAGAGCGCGGCACCGCGGTCAGTCGGGAAAAAAAAGAGCCGGGAGGGGAAGGTGGGGCCGGGGGCCGACTGGGAAGTGTCGTGTTCCGGGATTGGTGGCGTGGGAGGTGTGGGCGGAGGCGCGGCCCTCCGGGATTGGCGGGCACGCAGACGAGGCGGGGCGTCCCCTTTGTCTGGGTGGCTGCGGGCGGGCGGCCGCCCCTCGCGCGAGAGGCTGCGGCGAGGACGGTGAGTAGAGAGCGCGGCGCC